GATTCCCTGTTTCCAGTTGCTGTCTGTACCAGTGTACATCCTCTGGTCTAGCCAGATTTGTAAGGTACAATTCGGATCATGATAGTGGGGAGGAGGAAGCATTTAATAACTAGAGGAAAGTTGTATGTTTCATCATTGCTACACTGCATCCTGACTGGCTCACCTCCTCCCCGAGACCCTTCTGTAAGGGGGTGTCCAGTTGCCTACAGATGGGCTTTGGGTCTCCACTCTGCACTCCACCTCTTTTACAATGATACGATCTTTTGTTCTTTGATGCCTGATACCTGAACCCTTCGACGACACCTCGTATTCACACAGGCTGGTGTGCTTCTTCCATGCGGGCTTGCTATTTCTGAGTTAGATGGCTGCTTGTTTATCTTCAAGCCTTTAAGACCCCCGACGCTATATATTTTGATAGCCAGGCACCATCAGTTTTCTTCACCACATTTGCTTATGCAAACATGTTATTTTTATAATTCAGATAATTGGAATCTTTTTTTCTGTAGTTCAGTAGTGATTGTAGGAACCTGATGTTGCTAACATTTATTTATCTCAGTATATAGATAGCCAAATACACAGACACACAAGCTAGTGTATATTTACATTTGTACATAAACTCATACACAAGTTTCTAGCTTATTAACAGGATTTCACTGCTACTCATTGTAGAAATTTCTAATCTGATTAATGGCTGGATGATTGAATACATGAATAAAGCAGATTTTATTAGGATTTTTCATTACTTAAAAACATAAAAAATACTAGATATATAGTTACAGTGTATAGAGAAGAAATCAAGAAGACAACTTTCTTCATAGTTCATGTACCATTATGAGGAATTCACTTTATGAAATGGGAACCTGTTATTACAGGAATCACTGACGTTCAGCGATGTGGCTGTGAAGTTTACCTGGGAGGAGTGGCAGCTCCTGGACCTTAATCAAAGGAAGCTGTATCAAGATGTGATGTTGGAAAACTATCGCAACCTGGTGTTTGTGGGTGAGGGCAATTCTCCCGTGTCACTGAACAGGTGACCCGTTAGTGACCTTTACTGTCTCATCTTTTGAAAGCTTAGGATTGATTATCTGTGTTGCTGAAGTGTATGTTTCTCCATCTACTCTGACTATATCAGACGGTCTAGGCATACCCTTTTATTGTGCGTCACTTTATTTTCCTTCACAGCTCATGTATTTTTTACGGTCACGCCTTGTGGTAACCTGGCATCAAGCAAGTCTATAGGTGCCATTTTCTTTATAACATATGCTTACCTTGTGTCTCTGTGCCGCATTTTGGTAATGTTTACAGCATGTCACATTTCTATATAATATATTTTGCACTTCACAGAATATAGTATAATGTAAGCAGAACTTTTGTGTGCACTGAGAAACAAACAAAAATGCATGTGACTCATTTTACTGCCATGTTTGCTGTATTGGTCTGGAACCAAGCCAGCAATATCTCCCAGGTGTGCCTGTATGTACCTCCCACTCCCGAAAGGAAAACCTTTACTTTGCTCTTGTGACTATTGTTTTGTTTTTCCCCCATGTGAAGTTCTTTCATCTTCACAAACAAAAGGCCATTTAGTGTATCTAAGAGTCTGTTATTTCTCATGAACAGGGTATCAAGCTAGCAAACCCAATGTACTCTCCAGGTTGGAACAAGGAGAACAACTATGGAATATATTAGATGACAGCCATAGTGGAATTTGTTCAGGTGAGTGTAGCAGTGGTGTGGGGTACTGTCTGACCTCCTCTAACTTTGCAAGGGGGCTGGAGAATCAAGCTCAACATAGAGCCCAAGGTTCATTCCTATACAAGGAACCTTAAAAGTGGAATTTTATGTACATTCGTATCATAGGATTCACTTTACAGAACCACCTTATATCAAAGGTTGTTTTAATCAAATTAACTCCTCATAGAAATGATAGATTCATTGCTCTCTTCTTTTCTAGAAATGTCAAAATTTGATGATCATCTGCCTAGGCGCTGGCAAAATAAAAGGAAAGTGGATGGAATGGGAGCACGCAATGGACATGTGGCAAAAAATCGTGATTTACATAAAAAAGCCCAGAGGTCACATTTAACATTAAGCCACCAGAGCAGAAGTTTCGACATCAAGAATTGTGCTGGACTTAACCCTAAGCAGTGTGGTACTGAAACTGTATTCCCTGAAAGTGGTATACCCAACACCACTAAGTCCCAACTCATTAAGCACCAGAAAACTCACAAGATAGAGAAACCACATGTGTGCAGTACATGTGGGGAATCCTTCAGCAAGAAGTCATGCCTCAGTCTTCATCAACTAATTCATACTGAAGAGATCCCCCATAAATGCTCTCTATGTGGGGAAGCTTTCTCTAAAAAGTACGAGCTCACTGAACATCATCAAAGAAGTCATAAAGGACAAAAACCTTATGAATGCCCAGAATGTGGGAAAGCCTTTTTCTGTAACTCAAAGCTCAATAAACATAAGAGAGTTCATTTGGCAGAGAAACCCTATATATGCCAAGAATGTGGGAAAGGCTTTATAGAGAAGACATTTCTCACCATTCATCAGCGAACACATACTGGAGAAAAACCCTTTGAATGTAGTCAATGTGGTAAAGCCTTCGTCCAGAAGGGAAATCTCATTATTCATCAGCGAATTCATACTGGAGAGAAACCCTTTGTATGTGGTGAATGTGGTAAAGGCTATAGCCAGAAGTCATGCCTCATAGCACATCAGAGATTTCATACAGGAAAGAGTCCCTATGTATGTAGTGAATGTGGAAAATCTCTGACCCAGAAGGCAAGTCTCATCAGACATCAGAAATGTCACAGAGAGAAACTCTTTCAGTGCATTAAATGTTCAAAAACGTTCCCCACAAAGCACCAGCTTATCGTCCACCAAATAACTCATATAGGAGAGAAACTCCATGATTGTAGCCAGGGTGAAAAAACTTCTCCCTACGTGTCTAGCCTTACTAGACATAAAAGAAAACACTCAGGAGAGAGGCATGTAGACTCAGGCAAGGTAGGAGACCTTTCCACACCTAGTCATGTCTCATCCCGTACCAGTGATCTTAAACTAACCAAAAACCCAGTGATTATGCCAATGGGAGCTCAGACATCAATAAACAGTAGTCAGCTAACAAATAGGAATGTACTTCTCGTAGGACAGCCTGTTGCCAGAAGTGAACCATCAGGAGATAACAGAGTATGTGTGCCGCAGAGAATCCTTACGAATGTAGTAAATGTAGTTCCTTCAGTGTCCAATTACATCTTATTTTATGTGCCACAAAACCTGTAGGAAAAACATGACATTCACTGAAAACTGGTTAGCAAAAAGTTCTACACCATATAACTACAGAGTGTCCTTAGTGGGGAATCACGAATGCAAAACCAGAAAACTTCATAAGCTCATCCTAAATCAATAATGGTTCAGTGTTAAAAAAATCTGATTTCCCCCGTGGTGCATATCCATTGATTGCGCTGTCAAATAACAGGTCCAGATGGACTTTTCATTTGTGTATAACAAGAAATGTGGATTCTTAAAACAAAAGATCATTATCATCTGAAACGTGCCTTCTGGTTGCTTTTTTATTTCTGTCAAGAAATGATGAGGGCAATGAATGTACAAATTTGCTTTACACAATTGATGTATGTATGGCTTTTGATAAGAGTTGTATGAGCCCCTAATAAAACGATTAAAAAAAAGATTGCTATTAGTTGGCATTGAAAGAAAGATTAACCTGATGCTACACTAGGTATGAGCTGGCCTGGGAATAGAAGAAAGGCAGAACGCCTCAGAATAAATAAGCTTACGAGATCTCACACGGAGAGCTAAGAGCTGAGAACGTAGTTCCTGTACTGGCTGCGTGTTGGGCGAATAAATGGTGGAATGGCTGATGAAGATGGCACGTGGGCTACTATCCTTACTGAACTAATCCAGTGTGGGAAGCAGAGAACGGGAAGAGAGCAGTATACAGATGAATACTTTAGTCTCATATATTAAGCCTGGCAGGCTGGGTTTCTGAGGGTGGAGTGAGGCCTTCACCCTTGTGAGTTGGAGGTGAGTCCCAATCACAGACTCATAATTAATATTGTTCCCCACTATATCCTTCCGTTTATAGTGTGTAGTATTAAATTTAAAAATGGCACAGAGGAGTGGGGTGCCAGCCCCACCCGCTACTAGAACTCACTGGTTCAGTAATACTACTTCTGGGTTCAGTAATGCACAATTGTACGGTTGAGATATATAAGCATTATATTAAAGTCAAGAGCATGAGAGATAATACATTCATACAGACATATTACATGGTAGCATTGCTCACCTCTGCCCCGCTTGGTGGTCCTCATGGGGGCAACCCGGCTGCCAGAGCAGGAGCTGCCTCCCTCACGGGAGCTGCCCTCCTTCCTCAGCCACCCTCGGCCAGCCACCTCTTGGGAGCCGCCTCTCTTGAGAAGCAGCTCTCCTTATTTATTGCTAACCCCGCATCATATTACTTTAGGGGGATACATCACAGCATCATGCATCACAGAGAGGGGCAATACAATTAATCCTTGAACAGGTTTGATCATTCTGGTGTCTCATACAATAAAGCAGGCAATTACTATCCTGGGAGGCATGCAAGCCCCCTGATAGCAGATAACAACCTACGTCATAGAGAGGGGTTGTAACATAGGCAATACAAGCAATAGGAGGGGGATGACCTAGGGGTGAACGCGCAATAGTAAGAGGAGGGAATAGGGGGGCATGTGTGGCAAGATGGTAGCCTAAGCTTAGTCATCTTAGAGTGGTCCTGGGCTTGCCTATGGGCACTGCTTCAAGGGAACAATAACTGAAAGGAATGGGCCCTATTTGGGGTGAGTCAGACTATATAGTCTGGCCGCTATAGGTGGCTGATGTTAAGAAGAATAACCTCTGACCTATTTTCCGCTGCCTAGTGAACAATTATTCTCAAGCTAAGTCTGGCATATATTCTGGGGAGACAAGAGAAATCCCTCTTCCTCACAATAGTGCTACCTTAAAGTTACCTCTTAATAAGCACATGGCTGATTGATGTGTAGCCAGCAGCCCTAACTATGGGAGCAGGCATGTGCTATTGCTCTCTAGACTCTGGAGACAACCACTCACCCGTACCTGCCCCAGCACTGGTGTTAGATTACTCCTCCAATGTACTCAGGGACCTTTAGGGTTAGGATATAACCCACTTTGATACATAGAGTGGTTGCCTGTAATTAGGGGGGGAGGTTGTTGCCCACCACTAGACTATAAGCCTTGGTTGGAAATATAGTCTCTGTGCGGACCTGGCTCCTCAAGTCATGGTGGTCCTAGAGGTGAGCACTTGCATGCTTTATCTTGCCTGATGTCTTTAATGTTACCCCTCAGTTACACAACCACCGCTTCGACACATTCAATTGTGGGGACTTTACCTCACAGACCAGGTAGCAGCAAGAGACTGATGACAAAACCATTGGTGGAGCATGCACAAGGCAGAGGCTCTAACTGCGTACAACTGCCCAAGTCCCTCATCCAGAATGTGGCCATTGCCAAATGTTTTTACTCCAAGGATTACTCTGAGAAAGCAGCCCTGGTTGGCCAACTGCATCCTAGTTGTATCCTGTTACTTCCAAATTAATCCTGATCCTAGGTTGTAGGCCGTTTACTCCCTAATAAACCAGATAAGGGTGAATGTGATATGTGCTGTGTGGCATTATCAGGAATTATCGAAAGCAGCTCAGGAGGGAACAAACTAAGACCTGTTGTCTGAACTGGGGGACAAGGTTCAGGGTGATGATATATTTGAGTCTCACCTCGTAAGAATTAGCACAACTCAGATCCAGGACCTCCCAGCCACTCTGCCCATTGCTGTTGTTCTGTTGGGTGTTACAAAGCTTTCTTAGAGCAAAGTGCTCTGCCATTTGGCCTCAGCTTAAAGGCTTGCTGCTTGATTACTCTAGGAGCCCACCTTGTCTCTTGCTAGTCATTTGCAAGTCTGGTGCTGTTAGCAGCACTTTGCTGCTGCTGCTCATCATCTGGCCATCTCAGCCAAGTGCCACAGGCTGCCTTTCTGTCTCCTGGGTCAAAGAGGTACTCAGTACAGGGATCCTGTGTTAGTCTGGGTAGACTAGAGAAACAAATTCATAGACACTCATATGTGTATAAGAAAGAGCTTTATATACAAGGGCAATTGAATATTGAGAAAACGGCCCAGCCCAATCCAGATCAAGTCCATAAGTCTGGTATTAGCCCACATGTCCGATACTTATCCATAAATTCCTCTTCAGACTCACAAAACATGCAATGATGCTGAATGCAGGATAATCACAGGCCAGTGGGTGGGAAGTCTTGAGGGTCCAGTGGTGGTATAAGCATCTCAGCACTGGCAGGGGTCTTCACGTGGTTCCTCCAGCTCAGCACACTAGTGTAGTTCCATGTGTCTTGTCAGCTGCCATGTCTCCCAGGGAGTGAGCAGCAAGAGAGGAGACAAGAGTTTCCAGAATCCTCAAGAGAAGGCCATGCCCACACAGAGGCTTCATTGGCTATGACTTGATTGGCAGGCTAGACTCCACCCCTTCACTCTTATCCACTCAAACTGACAGACAAGTATATATCTACCACAGATCACGAGTCCAGAGGGTACATCCCTATCCTGGCTTTCTTTCTTGGTGGTCATGAGATCCTCCTTCCCTCTCCTGTGATAGGTCATTTTCAGTCTAGCAGAATGGCAAAACTAGCAAGTCCCTTCCTTAGGGTTCTGTGCAGCTTAATTTCATGATCTCACTCAATCCTTTGGTATAACATGCAACGACTGGCTAGAAGGACAATATTAAGTAATGGATTTCACTACAGGTTGTAATGCCAAAAAAAAAAAAAGCAACAGGTCCAGAAAGGGTCCGACCGACAAGGGTGGGAGCAACAGCCCTGTGGGAAACAGAAAGATTTCTCCCAAGTTGTCTCCCCCAAATATATGCCAAACCCAAGACGCTGCTTGCTACAGATGGTAAATGACTGTACACTAGGTCATTGAATGTGGGTCAGAGGTTATTCTCCTTAAGGATATCTAGAGCAACCAGACTGTATAGTCTGACTCACCATAAGTAGGGCCCACTCCTTTCTGATATTGTTCCCTTAAAGGAGTGCCCAAAAGCAAGCCCGGGACCACTCAAGGATGACTAAGGTTAGGCTACTATATTGAGTCTAGGGTCTACCCATCTTGCCACATATGTACCCCTATTCCCTCCCTGAACTATTGCGTGTTCATCCCGAGGTCATTCCCCCTCTTATTGCTTGTATTGCCTATGTTCCAACCCATTCTCATGATGTACATTGTTATCTGTAATCAGAGGATTTGAATGCCCCAAAGATAGATAAGCTTTGGTTAGAAATAAAACCTCACGATGCTCTCTTCTGCCCTCTGGTCTCCCACCTCCACGCGTACCACCAAGAGGAGCGGAGGAGAGCATGCTATGTGTCTGTGAGAATGAAATGTGTCTGACTTCTTTATTTTACTCACTCCCTCCCATTTCTCTATGACTTTACTATCATCTTTATATTTCTTAACAGTACAGTTGCGCCTATCGAACCCGTGATTAGTTGGGTGGGGGGCTGGCTACCCCCACACAGCCCCATGTATCCTGAAGTCAGTGGTGAGAGGGTCAAGAGAGACTGTCCTTAGGGGACGGAGAGGATCCTTTCCTCCACAGGCCTTAGGGGACCTGTCCTCAAGGTCCTTAGCGGTCAAACTTGTTTGCACATTTGAGAGCTGCCCCCCACTGAAGAAGGGAGACTTTGCCTCCCAATCCTATCCCTGGTTGTTTGTTTCCTGGGTTTCCCCCTTCTCCTGGCCAGGATCACGCCCCTGCTATACATACTCATGGGCTGCCATGTGCTGGTTTTCAGATGTTCTTTAACAGTGCTTAAAGGAAAGCACCATATTACTTTTTTTTTTTTGCCTAGCCGTGTGCTACTCAAGTCGCTGAAAATCCATCCATGTTTTACAGAAGGTCAGGTAGAGACCAGAACCATTCTGTTGCTCTCTGGCCTTGCCTACTGCATGGGAAGTACTCAAGTACCACCTCCTTAACAGTTTCTCTTTCTCTTGTTTCATTTTGGAAACTTCTTCCATTGATGGAAGTCGAGGATCTCTTGTGGATGTGATGATAGCTGTGTTCCCGAGCCCCTTGATGGGGCCTTTTGCCTTGGTTCTTTGAAAATCAGCTCCAGAGATTTCCCATAAGCCCCGAAGAGTTAACTGTGCCATGGTTTCTGCATCAGATGGTTTCTCACTTTTGTCTAGGTTGATTGACATTTCCTGTCAGCTATCAACAAGTAAACTGGGTTGCAGCCTGCCCTGTGATCGTTAAGCCTCTTGAAGGTATATGAATTGTCTGCAGTCGTGAAGGCCATGAGGATCATGTTTTTATAGCCATGCACTGAAATTGATGAATTGGTATATACGCAGCTGTATTCACTGGTTTGCCAGACAGAGGGAAGAAGCAAAGCAATAGGAAGAAAGTAGAAAAACAGCAGAGACAACGCACCAAACGAAAAAGCTGTAACATGAGTCAAGGGCT